TGTTCTCTTTGGTGCGTATCTCTACTAATGACATTTAAATAAATGGCTACCAAAGAAATAATTTCACAAAAATCTAGACATTGCTGGTAATACTGCATAATTCAGTCTAATATTTTGCAGGTCAGTTCCTCAAATCTGTACGAAGGAGATGTAAAATTATAATAAAGATCTATGACATAAAATTTCAATTTGTTATTATACTTTATTTATCCATAACTTCAATAATACAAATTATTTTGCAATAAAAAATATGTCAACTCCTAGCTCAATACCTTATCTATATAGGCCACATATAATTTTCTCAGAAAATAGTGTAGTTTTTGAAAAGACATAAACTGGTTATGACAGAAAAAGATCAACGATCCTTCTTATGGTATTAACAACATGTTTAAGGTTCCATGGTTTTTCGCGTTGATATGCCATGGCTTATATGGGATTTGGCACGAGTAGAAAAATATTTAGTCAGTAAAAGTCAATGAGACAAACATATTTGTATATGATGTTTCTCTAAAGCTGCAGTCGTAGCGTAACGTGATTGCTTTTGTCAGGTTTGTGCGTGCTCATATCGAATTGAATTAGATTAATTTTCAATTTCTTGGTACACCTACATATATGGAAGTTTTGTAGTTTTATACGCAATAGATTTAAATAAAAAGTGCTAAATAAGAGGAGGCTTAATTATTTAAGCATATTATACACGCGTTTACTTTAGATAGGTGTATTGTGCATGTGAAATTCACCTGCAATCAAATCAGTTTCTAAATTTCTTGGTATGCCCACATAAACCACGTTTACGTGACGTTACACGTGTAGTTAAATGTTTCCATCAATACGATAAATCTTCTTTACATATTGCGCTTTATTTCAAGGTTAAATGTGAAACCAATACAGTTTATGAATCCGGTTCACTAATAAGCAAAGTATTGTCTTGAAAAGTTTAACTTGGCATATAAATAAATTAAAACAAAGTCCAAATAAGCTGTTCAGTCAGATGGTCTCTTGTTAAATCTTCAAGAAATATAGTAGCAATCACGTTAGTACTTTTTGCAGTACCAAGATCAATGGCAGTAGTTCCAAGTAAAAATTTCTATTGGTTACATATTACTAGAAAATTATGGTTTAGAAACACGGGTAATTTTCGTGCTGAGCTGAGCAACAACAAATTAAGAATGTCTTAAGTTATTTACATTTTTATGCTAACTAAAAATATAGAACCGTTAACAATGCCTATTGTATATATCCATGTATTGCATATTAAATCACATTTTCCAATAACAACAATGAATCCTTGTATCTCAATCACGTTTTTAAGAAATTCTGCATTTTGTAAAAAAGTTAAGTTTAGTCATAAGAAGCTGAAGGGAAGGTGCAAGCTGCCTTGTGTTTCAGTAAAAAAGCCTATCTGTAATAAATTCTCAATTTTTAATTTTTTAGTGTTTCAAAACAGTTTAATTTAGTTCCGAGGTCGCGAAATATTTTAGTACAGCTTGTGCAATTACAAAACTCGAATATCCATCTTGGCACAAACAATGTCTTGTATCATTTTTACTAATCACTGGTAATCAAAAACCCTTCTTTAAAGTAAATGATAATTTCTGTAGCTATAAAGCTAAAATAAATCGTTCTCGAATCCATGCATTTTTTTATTCCGGCCTAAGGTATGCACAGAATATTTCCTTTGTATCAAACTAGTTCTTCACCTTGAAAGTTTGGTCTTTGCATGTTATGGACAAATTAGGCAACTGTGATAAATGATTCTTTGAAAATTCGTCTATCAGAAGGGACATTATTCATGGTCCGCTATTATGTTTACTGCTGCGGAAATGAAAAATTTTCCATAAAAAGTTTGTTGGAAGCACGACATAAGTACCTACGCAACTTCACAAATACTCTTTTGCCATGGAAAGTAATTTGCCATTTAAAAAATGGTGTAAAATCTAATAACTGCACAGCTAACTAACACCAGTAATTGCCATTATAGAAAAAAAAAACAAGAGAAGAAAAGCTCTAGAAGCAACACATATAGGCACATCCTAAACTATAGAAGCTGCTACCGAAAGAAGCACCTTTTTAGATATAGTTCCACACATAGACGTTGTGACATGCAGTTTTTAAATAATCTTGTTTCAAAAATAATCGGATAGAATAGCAATTATTGATGTACTTGGCTCGTATCAAATATTACATATTTTGAATACAATTTCACTGAATAATCATCATATCGTCATCATTATATTTTATACATCTTCCTTTCATTATGTATAGAAATCTAGATTAATACAATATAACATTGGGTTTTTATATCGCAAAATCAATGTAGAGCTGCATTTAAAAAAATGGGAATATCCCCATAACAACCCTTCGAATTAACCTATTTGACTTTCATTTAGATAATACCATTACATATTACGATAAGGCAGTATCCATTGCTTTAATGAATTCAGAATTAAACATCAATGTTTATTAAAGGCGTTGTAAAGAATCATGGATATAAAATCCTTGCTCTGACTTGTACAAATCGATTTATGAAGAAACAAAAATCCATGATACCATTTATTTATCCTTAGTATCTACTTAGGACTTAACCAAACAAACGCAAAGCATGAAATTCGTTAAAAAGCATAAACTAATCCATAAAATAGGTCATGAGGAAGTTGCTCATTGGAGTCATTTAATATTATGACCATAGTTTTCCAGCGAGTTTAGTTTAAGGATTTGATAATAATGACGTAGAAATCGACAATCTGCTTTCTATCCTTACGAATTCCATCAATTTAAGTCGAGGTTCAAGTTTTCCTTTAGATGCGAATGAGTACAACAAATTTTGTTGGGATAAAAGTCTGTCTGCCTCATTTTAACACTCTTTTCAATATAACCTCTTCGTATATTGCAATTAAACTGAGTGCTGTGGATTTTCAAGGTTGTAAAATACATTTCACGTTTATAGTTAAGTCTTCGTGATATATTTTGAAAAACTACGGTCAAATTGCAGAATACTAGAACGAAAAAGGATTATGCTCATAAGGAGGTCACCAGAAAGTTGGGTGGGACTATGTTTCTCCACTGCAAAAACGAGGTTACTTAGATCTTTTTGTTAGTAACTAAACAAGTCCATGTATTGATAATGCACTCCGTGTTAGCTGTTTATAAATAGTGTTACCGCTTACAATATTATCTATATTTTACTGGTAGTACCGTACTACAAGCATGCGGTAGGCATTACAATAGATCACTTGCTCGCTGCACACGCCTTCCACCCACATGGGTAATTGTAATTACTCTATTACCAGTTTCAGTACATATTGCCCTTGTAAATGCTTTTGCATTTTTAAACGTGCGTTAGATCGTATTTCGTACTGTATGTTCAGCACCTAAAACTGTTTCGTGAACGGTATAATAAAATTGTCAGAATTTGGATAATAAACCACGAGCAGCGATTAAATGGAAAACCAAATATTTTCAACGTTGGGGAGCGGGAAAATGGTAATCGTTATATAGCCAAAAGAAAACAAACTTGTCTATATTTTGGATTAGCAGATTTTTTGTTTTTGAAGTTGACTGGTTTAGAATAATTTGTAAATGATTTTAAGTGTGGTTAGAAATGTTTGTAAACTTCAAGTATAGAGAAAATAAATATAAGTTTATGTGTAGGTATATATTTGACGTACAATTTTATACATGTATATACAATTTATTGTTTTTGGATTAGTGTCCTTTATTCTTTTAATTTCTGCAATAAGCCGGAAATGTAAATGTAACCATACCATTAATGGAAAAAATAGATAATTTGAAAGAAAATAATTTATATTTAGGTACAAATTGCATTCAATTTACTAGGTATTACTAATTTTAAAAAGACTTATTTCAAAACTAAAAAAATGAAGAAAGCATATTACTGTGTTAGGGATCAAAAGCAGGTGGTATGCCTAAAATAAAGAGGACATGCATAACAGAAATTGCATAAAAGCGGTGAGATGAGCATGACAGCGTAGGCTGGGAGGGTAAATATAAATATTTACCTCACTAAAAACCACCTGCGACAGTCAAAATCAGAACCACTTTGACAGAGTTTGTATTTTTCACGAACTATCAGTCTCTGACACTTGGGCACATTATATGTCGAACACAAATTCATCAAATCCGTCCCGTAATTGATAAACATCGCATAAAATGCCTCTCACGTTGTTTCTCCGCCCGCGCTCGCAGCTGAACTCCAACATTATAAAGTCCCATGTGCGGTTTTCATTATTATGAGTCTATTTTTAGCACTTGATGTCACGATACCTGACCCTGATTCGCGGTTCGTGACATAATGCGGGCGCGCGATTGGCTGGAGAGCCTTCCACCAAGTCACGACTATGAGATACAAGTTGCCCGCCAATGCGATTATTACAGATTGAAAACAAATGAAGCTTTAGTTTTTTTTCGAATATTAATTTGCCCTAGCCATGGTTTTGAATCTAGCTTTATTCGCAGCCGACTGGCCCACATTTTGAACTCTCTAATATGAGTTAGTCCTATAAACGGCGTCTGCATTTGTGCCATTTTTTATAACGCATAAAATATTATCTAACTGTAGTGCAATAGCTTAACTATAAAATTGATGTTATTTACTAATAAAGTACAATAAGTAACGGTACAGAAAAAAATTTGTATGTTACACATTAATTAGTTGTTTTAAGAACCTTATGCCTAATTTACTGCGTACCATACACAACACCTAAAATATAGTTGATGAATGGGGAAGATGTTCTGTCTACCTTGATCCCGGATTTAATACGTATATTACTAGAATTGTTAATTTACAAGTAGAGGAAACAGGAAAAACACTTTTAATAATGATATTCGTTTAACTGAGTAACTTTAATGTTGTGGTTAGTTGTTTGTTGCTTGTGTGGGAGTAGCTTTATTGCTTGCCGATTGACCTTAGTTTGTACAAGTTGGATGCCATCTAGTTTTGAAACTGAAATATATCACTTACCTTTTCACTGAAATTTTTGTGCGAATTTTGACAGTGACTGAAACCAGTGAATGCTAAAATTGCAATTATTCTAACTTACTGGAGTATTCTATTATCGTTTGTATTTAATAGCAAAAATTGACGAAAAAATACTGAGGAAAATAGAAAAAAATATTTTTTTTCTATATTCAAATGTTCATTTATATAGTTATATAGTTAACACCCCGCCGAACGTGAATTAGCGGTCAAAATTGATGGTTCTTATTCTAACCTCAAAAAAACGGGTCAATTCAGGTAAGATACCACGAATTTTCAAAAAATAAGAAATTCGCGCCAAATTTGGTATACGGGGGTTTTCGAGGTCACTGATCACGAATCCGAGATTTCAGAAAATCAGATTTACAAAATTCAACCCGTGAATAGATATTTTACAGAAAAAAGAACAAGATATAGCCGAAAAAAAGTAGAATAACACATGATTGGGTACTCAGGTTATAAAGTAAAATTTTACTAAATAAATTTCGCAATTCTGACCTCCAATACGTAATCAACGACCCCAAAAATTTGCAAAATTGACCTCGGATCCGTAGTTAGCGACCCCGAAAACTCCCGTATACTAAATTTGCTGCGATCTGTTATTTTTTGAAAATTTGATCGGCCATCGTGGATCCGCCATCTTGAATTTTGCAAAATTGACCTCGGATCCGTGATCAGCGACCCAGAAAAACTACTATATCAAATATGGCGCGAATCTGTGATTGTTTGAAAATTCGTGATAGCTGACCTTAATTCTGACACCGGATTCGTGATCAGGAGGCAAAAATACTACAGATAACATATGTCGCATGAAAAGTACAGACAACTTTTCTTTTTTTGTGTGGCTGTGTAATTAGATTTTATACCGAATTTAATCCCTTTGAATCGTGTTTTCTACATATTTTGGAATCCGTTAAATATACATATTGAATTCCTTAATAATAATAACTAATTGCATTTGTTTTTTTGTGTTGGTTTAAACAATAAATATGCAACTACTTTTAAGAAACTAACTAATATGTATGATGTTACTAGAAGTATAAAATTCAACTTTGACCACTTCAAGTTAAAAAATTAGATACTATTTATGCATGTCATAAATAAAAAATGATTTATTTTTCCAGTATAAAAAAAATTAAAGGTATAAGTTGTATAATTTTCCCAAATTTAAATTCATGTAAGTTGAAAAAAAAAATTATAGAACAATATTACTAATGTGAAATTGTCTGTTACAATGTAATGTTTAATGTTATAACAACTAAAATTAAAAATTATCTAATTAATAAATAAAAACATACTTTCAAAATGACTAATTTCTGGAAAATAATATTTATATTTATTTTAGATTATTAAAGCCTACTTTTTATATTTTTTCGATATCTAATTTGACAAATATTGGTCATCAAATTTTTTATTTAAAATCTACGCCACTGGATTCTGCACCCCTCCTCTATGTAGTCTTTCCGAAGTTAGTTGAACATGCAAAGAAATGCCTGGCAATAAGATTTAATGACTTTCATAGGCGTCCCTAAAAAAGTTTTCTGCTAAAGGTAAAAAATTATAATAATTTGTATACCTATAATGTGTAGAAAATGTCTATTATATGTTCATTTGGCCAACAACATATTTTAATTATTTATGTCCTCAAACAATTTTACTATATTGATGGTAAATTTCGTTTTGTTCCATTTCAAAAGGTCTCGCCATGTTGTAATAGTATTATTTCTCCCTTTCGCAATTGTAATATAAATGATTAATAGAAGGTGCCTATAAAAAATTAAAATTACCTAAATCACACCAAATTCCGCATTGCTCCACTGCACTGCTGGGTAATTTGTCAACCACTTGTCAAAAACTGAGATTTATTGCCCAGTAGCCCAATGCAGTTGTGTTAGATTCCGTTTGCCCGCGCTCGCATTCTTCAACTGGGCGTATACATTTCTACCACTTCCACATTTAGTTCGACCAGACCTGTATATGGGTATAGTTAAATAAATATGGGAACAAGTTTTTCAAATATTTCAATATCGAGTTGCTGCGTCAGCGACCGAACCTGGTACACACCGTTAACGTCTTAGTTCTTCAATTGATATCGAAAAGACTATACCAAATTGCGAGAAAAAATATTCACAGCTCATTGAAAAATTAGTCCCGTTTTTTTCATCTTAAACTGCTTTTTTGTAACACTCTGTATTTTCAGATAAGTAGGTATTTATAAAGGTACATAAATGAGATATTTTTCAAAAACTTCAACAATATCCCTTCGAAACCTGTTACTTTAGATGTTAGATTAAGTAAGTCTTCAAATAATTTTCTGAATGGAAAATACCGTTACTATAGTGCAAGAATTTGTTATGTCCGATAATAACTTCACAATTAATTGTGGTACTGCCTCTGAACGTTGAGTGAAAAATTAGCTCAACGCTCTGAGTAATGTAACATGCGACACGCGACTCATAAATGCCTTCAAATGTATAGAAGTCCGTCTGGTCCGCCTAAAGTTGATATGTTGTCCTCTGTTGATCAAGTAACAAATAAAAGTGCCAATGTATATTCCGAAACTAATATAAGTGAATATCAGAGATTGAAAGCGATGAAGGGAAAAATATCTTTGTAAAAACTGTCGTTTTCCGTAAATGGTTGACTTAAACGGGAGAACTCTCATTTTAAAATAGACTAAATCTGAACTGTTTCAACGTGCATCAAAATAGTGAAGTTGTTGTTGATAAGAGGAGTAAGACATTGTCAGGATACGCAATAATATAAGTCTTGCCTATCTCTTCTTCTCCCTTTTTCACCTCCTATGGTGAAAAACTTTTAACGATTTTAAACGTGCATCTTTTTCTTCTGAATAAGAGTCTTCCCTTATTTTTTCTAACATACAAGGCTAGTGGGAACACAAAGAAAGAGATTTTATAGGAAAAACTAACTTGTACTTAGTTATGCATGAATAAGAGTCAAAACAAAACCTTATACTCCAAGTAAATTATAATCAATTGGAAAAAAGTATCATTAGCTACTTCCGAGAAGTACATGCTCCATTTCATATGAATAAAACCAGACATATACTTCTGACATGAAATTATTGTTTCAAAATTTCGAGGTAACTTTCGAGCCGGCTCTAGTCGTTAGCAAATATTTAGGTTTCCAATGATTAACGGATATTAATTATTGCGAATTTAAAGGAGTTTTATCCAATTATGAAAGCCTAAATTTACTAAACCTACTTTAAATACTGAAGTGAAGTAGATGCTGGACTATCACCACGGTAGCATAATCGGTCGAGCATGCGGTGGCGAGCATTTCTCGGCCAGACTTCCTATTCTGGTCCGCGTTCGATCCCTGGCATCGGCACTGGCAATGTCGATGGATAATGGGTGGTTGTCCGGGTTTTTCAAGTGTAGCCCCCTTCCGCACAGCCTTTGGCTTTGGATTTGGAGGTTGTTTCATTTCTGTGATGTGTTTTATGTTTTTATGTTTATGTAAAATAAAGGTTGAATGATTTCCGAGCTGGTTGCCACGTCGTGGATTTACAACTCTTGACGTTTCGAGAAACATATCGCTCTCTTCTTCAGAAGTTACTCTGAAACTGGAAATCTACTAATTGTGTAACTATTTATATTTGGCGTGGTCACTGATCCATGACATTCCGGTGGATGACTTCGTACGCGCTGTTGACGTTCCAGTGGGTTGCTTTCACGGATGACTCTCTTCCATATACCTGACAGATCCACGCCACCGTCCCTGTTGAAATTGTTCGGAATTTTGTAAATTTCTAATGTCTCTGTATAGTCGAGGCCAAAATCTTCTCTCTCTCACTACCATGTTGGCTTCACTCAGATCCACTGTGTGTCCCGTGTCCGCTCTATGTTCCATTTTATCTGTACAACCTTTCACGTAAGGTAGATACGCCGTCGCTAAGTACTCCTATTTCTCCATGGGGTATGCCTGATAACTCGTTCGATATTTCTCCCTGTGTAGCCATTCCCTTTTAGGGCCGTGCGTAGGTGTTCTAGTTCCTCGGACAAGTGTATTGGCTCGCTGATGATCCCCTGTTTCTGGGCTGGATGGTGGTGGGACTCTGCATTCAAATCTCCGTCTGTGTGAGTTGGCTTCCTATATACTTGTCTAATGTGTCCTAAAGTGACATCTGGTTTCCTTTCAACCAAAACATCCAAAAAGGGAAGGGCGACATTTTTCTCTACCT